AAACTTAAACTAAATCTTAAACTAATTTCATTTTTAAATAATTCTCTACAAAAAGAAAAGCATCAAGTGTTGTGGGTATGCAATTTTCATTCATTTCTCTCTTTGCAATAAATCTCGTGCTCAAAGATCAAACAAAAGAAATCGTGTTTGTATGTAGGTATATGTAGGTGTATGTGTTTGTGAGTACGTAATTTTAACTTACGAAAGAATTTTGGGAATTCGGCGTGTAGGAATAGTCGTAACTATTTGGCCCCATATTAGCGTACCGATTCCGAAGAACAGGCACCACAACCACTGGTCTAACGTGAGCGCTCTGGTGCTGAATGCCATTTTACCGTATTGTATGATAAACACCTATAAGCAAAAGAAACAGATAATTGTTTATTAAAAAACAAGCTGCTTATAAAATTGCTATTACGTGTACAATTGTGTGTAATTTATCAATGGAATTCTGATCCAGTGATCCGCCACCCTTACATCGGAATCACAACAATAGATAGAAGTAAGAATAATTAATAACTTACTTGCGCGAAACACGTGCAGATCCAAATCGTATAGAAGATGGGGTTGGTGAATATTCCCTGGAAGACATTGCGTTGACCATGAATTTTCCTAGCGTTGAATTCGTTGAAGAGAGTCATCATGACGAACGTGTTGAAGATGACGGTGAAGTGTTGTGTGGGCCCGCCGCCTGCCGCCGCCACTCCGCGGCCCGTTTCGATGTCGAGCATCAGATCACCTGCGGCAGCCATTCATGAAAACTTTAGAACGTTCTATTCGATAAAAGCATCGAACGATGGAAGTTCGAGATAAATTGACGAGATCGTGGAATCGTAGGAAGAGGCAAAGGAATAGTACTCACCGGCGAAAAGAAGCGTGAAAATTACACCCAACTGATAAAAGGCCTGACCGAGAATATTTTTCATCATTGTCCTGGAAATGAGTGGTTTTGTGCGACCGTACGGTCTACGGAGGAGTAGATCGGGCGTAGGCAATTCGGTGGCCAAGGCGAGGGACGCTAATGTGTCCATGATTAGGTTTACCCACAACATTTGCACCGCCTTAAGCGGCGAGTCCTGTACGGCACAAGCACCGATGAAAGCGACGATCACGGCGACCACATTGACGGTCAGTTGGAACTGCAGAAACTTAGCGATGCTATCGTAGACGTTTCTGCCCCACATAACCGCCTTCACGATCGACGAGAAGTTATCGTCTGTCAGTATGATGTCGGACGCTTCCTTGGCGACGTCCGTGCCGGCGATACCCATGGCAAAACCGACATCGGCCTTCTTTAAAGCCGGACCGTCGTTCGTGCCATCGCCGGTTACCGCTACGACCTCGCGACTCTCGCTTGCTTTGCTGTCAATGATGCCTTTCACCAAGGTGTACTTGTCGGTGGGAGACGATCTGGCCAATACTCGCAGTTTTGGCCACACTTTGTCCAGCAAATGTTGCTGCACCTCGCCATTGCTGTCTCTGATCCTGCGATTGAACTCCTTGCCCTCCAGAATGAGGAAGTCTTCGTTCGGTTTCAGGATACCACACTTGAGCGCAATGGATCGCGCGGTGTTTATATTGTCACCCGTAACCATGCGCACAGTAATGCCGGCCTTTTGACATTTTTTGATCGCATCCGGTACCTCGGGACGTACCGGATCCTCGATACCGACGATGCACAAGCAGGTGAGGTTGTTCACTAGATTATCCTCGTCATCCCAATTGGGCTCGTTGTCGATGTGAACTTGATTGATCTCCGCCTTGCCAGGAACAAAATCGCGATAAGCGATGGAGATGGTACGCAGCCCGTCACATGCCATGGGTTCGATCACGTTCTTTACTAGACGCTCTTGCATATCTCTGGTAAACGTCTCCAGATGACCCTCGCGACCATATATAAAGGCACATCTGTAATAAAGGCAATCAGATTTCTAAATTCCTCTTTAATCTCAAAGAAAAAAAAATCAATTTTAGGACACTAAAGTCGAATAAATCGGTAAATATTTTTCTTTTAAAAAACATAGTTTTTGCTTAAAAAAAAAAAAAATTGTTGAATTGCTGAGAAATGATTGAAATCACGCGCAGGACTTAAATTTTTAAATCGTAAAACAATATAAAATGTTAGAATGAAATTATATACGTACTTCTTCATGATGATCTCGGAAGCGCCCTTAGTGAAGAGCCGAAATCCACCACCCTTTCTAGGGATAACGGTAGACATGCTCTTTCTTACGCTATTAAACGTATACACCCGCGTAAAGGTTTCCTCAGGATAGTCGTCCCGCACCGTTTGATATTTCTTGCCCAGGGCTAATACGAATCCAAGTAAGGCACATTCGGTTTTGTTGCCAACCTGTAACGGCAATTCAGTAGGATCCGGCGACTCCATTATCCGCGACGTGTACGCCGAATTGATGGAGATGGCCTGCAAGATCAACTCGCCGATGTGGCTCGGTATGTCCGAGAAATTCGGCGTTGTCTTGCACATCTTCTCGCATATATACGACTGTACCACGGTCATGCGGTTCGTGGTCAGGGTGCCGGTCTTGTCCGAGCAAATGGCGGTGGCGTTACCCATCGTCTCGCAGGCATCCAAGTGACGCACCAGATTGTTGTCCTTCATCATTTTCTGCACAAAAAGAAACGGTCTCAAAGAGGAAAAAGGAACGATGGTTTCCATAAAATTCAAGAGAAAATTCCTGATCTCACCTTGACGGAATAAGCGAGTGACAAGGTGACGGCTAGAGGAAGACCCTCGGGTACGGCGACTACGAGCACCGTAACACCGATGATCAAATGCCGCACCAGATCACCGGCGTACGTGTTTCGCCACGGTTTGCCCTCTATGACGAAGGTCGTCACGCAGAACTGTATGACTAGAATGACGACTGTGAGCACCGCGATGGTCGAGCCGGCATAACCGATCTGTATGGCGAGTTTAGTTAGCTTGGCTTGCAGAACACTCTTTTCTTTCTTCCCGCTCTCTCCAGCGCTCGCGGGTGCGGCCGCGTGATGATTCTCGCCACCCTCGTGCTTGACACCGCCGCCACCGCCACCGCCACCGCCGCCACCTCCACCGCCGCCGCTTCCCGTCACGTGACTGTTCCCGGTAATCTCTACTGACTCCTCTCCTTGATTTACAGTGCCAAGATTAGACCACGTTCCATCGATATATATCAATCGAGACTCAATCGACTCGAGTGATCAATCTCTACTCGCACTTCAGCAAAGACTCTGATCATGCTTGGCTGCTAATCGATCGCAATGCCGACTGAACCTCGATCATTAAAGTTAGCATGAGTATATACCAAGTTGTTAAAAGCATTCTAATAAAAACAGTGGATGCTACTCGAGTTAATGGATAGAAGTTAATGAAAAATGATTAAGATTAAGTGGCACAGCAGTTACATGTTAAAAACACAGATTTAAAACCACGGGTGTTTATATCATTACTAAAATGCAGAAAACGAGAAGCTAATGCAAAAACGAGAGCTTAGCCGCTAACGTGTCAAATGCATATAAACCACTGCCAATAGAACACGCAAAAATCAATAGGGAATACGGAAGCGTGGACAGTGTAATTTCATTTCTTCTTTTACACTCGGTCCTGGATATAACGTTTAATAGCGAGCAATATATCGATATAATACAACATGGTTCCTTTAAATAAAATGCATACCATCCTCATCATGATTTTCATTATTTTAAGTTAATATTATTGCTTCAAAGCGCGCAATATATCTCAGGTCCGAGTACACTTAAATTGTGCTCAATGAAGAGAGGGAAAACCGACTTTAATCGAATATTACCAATGCGATAAAATATTCCTTCATACACAACATTAGTACACATAGTGTAAGGTCGTAGGTACAATTAATCGAAATAACATAGAGAAAAGAAAATATACCCGCCGAATGATATAGAAAAATGAAGAAGATGAAGTGAGAGATAAAAGAAAATGGAATACTGCCTTGAGAATTCGATCAATTTCTTGGTATTAATAGTAATGTATATGTGTATAATGTACACATAATTATACATCGAGATAAAAACAATAATAATATGTATATATATATATATATATA